GAGGAGTTTAGCACCTTTGGCACGAACATTCTGGGCAAAGGTCAGCAGTAGATACAAAGGCCTTAATGAAAGAACAGACTTGGAATTTCCAAGAGGCAAACACAGGAGTTGGTGTTTTATTCTAAGGTCAGTGGGAACCACTCAGGGTTGTTGGCAGGCAACTATCAGGTCTGATTTACCTTCTCAAAGAGTACAGCAACTGTGTGTGAAGAACAGTTTGCAGGGGCTCAGGGGCAGTGGGAGAGCAGGTGGGATGCTCTGGTAGGGGACCAGGTGAGAGCTGACACTGTTTGGAGATGGAGCAGATAAAGCATGAGGGAGGATATCTAGCCATTGAGGGCAAAGAAAAGAGGGGTGAAGGACACTTCCTATGTGACAGAGGAGCTGGGTATCTGGTGGTACCTTTTGCTGCCATGAGGAAGAACCAGGGACAAACCCCGTGGAATGGGAAGGAACAGTAAAGGATATTAACTGAGGATTCACCACATGTTCCCATAAAGTTTTGGGGGAAACCTGGCCTTACCTGGCTGTGGCCAGTCCAGGAGTGGAGATGAAACGCCTGTGTGAAGCAAGTGAAGAGTGCCCTGATGCCAACCATGGCGACTACAATGTCAATAAGATTTGGCTGTCACCTTGCCACTTACGAAGCCCCCTCACACTTCATCGATGCAGCGTTACAACCAAAAAAAGATACTTTCCCTCCATTTCATAGAGGAGAAAATTGAGGCTTGGAGTGTCAGTGATGAGCCCCAGCTCAGCCAGCGGGGGTGGATGTGAGCCACCTGAGGCTGCAGAGTTTCTGCATCAGAGTCTGCTCTGTGAAGAGGCACCTTGAACTTCATTTGTATGAAGCTCACTGGGCTTATTCGGTTTGGTTTGGAAGGGGCAGCTGGGAGAGAAGCGAGATGCCGATGGGAGTGAAAAGGAGTGTAGAAAGCACCCAGGAGTGATTTGGAGGAGCCTGTTTCCAAGCTGTGCTTCTTTCTCTCGTGATCTGGGTAAAGGGGGTTGCTTAGAGATGGTGGAAGTTAGTGTGCAGTAGACTGGAGAGGAACAAAGCTGAATCCTGAGAGATCCATCGGCTGTGAAGCCCAGGGAGTGTGCTGAGAGTAAAGGCACAGTGAGCTGTGACTGAGAGCACACACGGCCACGAGGGCCACTCACTTCTACACATGCACGTCTTGGTTACTTTTCTCTTGTTGCTGAGACAAAATACTTGACACTCAAAATGAAAGAAGGAAAGGTTTGTAGAGGTTTCAGTCCGTACTTAGTTGGCTCCAAGGCGGGGTGGTGTGGCTCACGGGCAGTTATTCATGGCAGCAGCAAGTGGCAAGAAAGAAAAGGGGAAACAGGTAAAAGCAGGCCTCCTTCCCTCCCTTATATTGTATGCTGCCTCCCTGCCCTGGGTGGGTGCAACACTCACACCACCAATTAAAACACTAGACTGCAAACCAATCACAAAAGCTGGACTCAGCTGCTTTTGAAAGGCCCTCCCCTCTTGATGGCATGAGTCTTTAGGGGGACATTTAAACACCAACCATAACACATGACCTGGACTAGGGCTGAGACCCACTTCTGTGGGCGGGGACTCTGCTTCCTCTCCAGGCTTATAGGATAGGGACCTGCCTTTTGCTCCCTAGCTTGACCTCCAGCAGCAACTTCTTCCTCATGGTACCTGGCAATTTGGGTCTGGCCATCAGGTCTGTATAGGATGTGCCCTACCTAGCCTGAGATGTGACCATAGTTCAGTCTAGTTAGTCCTGCACTGCTGGTCCTCTCCAGCCTGCCATGCCCAGAGGTCTTCCCCTCAGAGGTCCCAGCAAAAACTACCCAGTCTGCCTACCTCACCCAGTGGTTCTTAACCAGAGGGGCGCAGGGATTTTAATGATCTCACTGTCCCTGCAGTTTCCTGGCTGAGACGTTCCACCAGTCAGCATTCAGCATGCTGTCAAGACCTCCCTCCCTTCGGCTCCTTGCCTGGCCACACTCCTTGTTCCCAAATCCCCACGCAAGGACCTCCTGCCCTGGCCTCCACCCTGCTCCAGCTGAGTGCCACTCCCTGAGCTCCTAGGATTCCTGTGCTTCCCTTTGTCTCATCCTGCATCCTGACTGCTGTATATGGCGGGTTTCTTTCTGGTCTTTGAGACAGCTGAGTCACACACATTCATGATGCCTCCTTTTCCTACTCAGCAGAAACACTGGCTCCATTTTCAAGCCTTTTCCATTGGCGCTCATGTCTGGTGCCAACTGATAAACTGTATCAATCCTAGTGGGCTAACAGTAAGTTTTGTGTAGCATATCGTCTATTAGTATCTTTCTTTTCTTTTTCTTTCTTTCTTTCTTTCTCTTTCTTTCTTTCATCTTTCCTTCCTTCTTTCTTCCTTCCCTCCCTCCCTCCCTCCCTCCCTCTCCTTTAGAAGAATTGACATTTTTTATATGTTCTTCATGTAAGAGCATGCGCATGTCTTCCTGCAGGTGTGTGTCCTGCATAAGTTTCAGACTTTGCCATTAAACTTATCCTTACTACATTTTTCCTAAATATTTTATAGTTTTGACACTATAATCAGACACTTCATTTCTGCTTGTAGTTAGTTAACTGTTACTAATATAGAGAAAAGCTACCAACTTTTGATTATTTGCCTTATATCCAGCCTTTTTAGCAAATGCAGCTATTATTTCTGGTCTTTTTTATTAGAGTTTAGAAAAAACCGAGTTTTCTAGATATCCAAACATGTCAGCAACTATTAGCAACCGTGCCATTCATACACACACACACACACACACACACACACACACTTTTTTTTTCTTTATGTGATAACCCAAAACTTCAAAACAACACCCAGCAGAAAGGACAGTCTCTTTCATTTTCATTTTATTTTAAATGTAAGTGCCTTCAACATTTCAAAGTTTCTGAAGTTCGCTCTGGGTTTTAAGGAAAGAGGGCACATATCAGTCTAGGCCTTCAGCGGGTGAGATTCTCCGTGGACCCCTTTAGAGCCTAAAGAAAGGAATGGCAGCCTTCATATTGAGGAGATACAGTTCTGAATTCCAAGCACTGCCAGATTCTGCACAATCCCACATTCTTACCAGAACAACTCAGAGGAGTTTGTTTGCAAACATTAGGTTTCTATACACTTTTAAAAAGAAGGAAAGAAATGATATAGGGCAAAAATTAAAAACAACATAATAAGTAGTAATAATAAAAAAGATAGCTGCATTAACCAGGGTAGGGATGCTAATGGTGAGCCTGCCAGGCACACGTCATCCCTGGGCCTTTAGGGACAGCTCAGCACCTGGCCGCTGCAGTGGCTCCTCCTGGTGACAAGGGATAAAGTGGAAACGCATCAAGCTGGCAGGCAGTCACATATGGGAGGAGAGAAGCCTCTAGTCCCCAGGGCTCAGGGCCACTGCATCTTCACTCCCTGCATCTGCCTGTCCCTACCTGCCCATGGCTCGGGACCTGAGGCACCACTGCTGACTGCAAGTGACCCTGCCCAGGCTCCAGTGCAGGATCTCCATGAGGGGGGCAGAAACAATGGAACAAAGGCCACAGTCCCTCTGGGCACCACAGCTAATCCTCTCAGGGAGGTTAGCTGAGAGATGACGGATCTTTGAAGCTGATGGGACCTGGCAGAAATGGCAGGTGGAATAATAGCCACCATGCACCCCGCACCCTCCTTTCAAGAATTTCCTTCACAGATAAAGAAACTGGAATCCAGAGAAATCAGAGAGCTCACTCAAGATTGCACAGATAGAAAGTGGCAAAGTGGGAACCTGACTCCAGAGCCTGTTTCCACTGGACAGTTCTGCTTAACCAAGACTGGCCCTCCTAGAAGTGCAAGGTTTCTCTGCAGACTTGAGTTAACGCGTGCACCAGACGTTACGGAGAGGATAAGTAACAAGGAAGCACACAGGACTCGCGGTGAGGGAAGGGTGACTGCACAAAAGGCGGCTTCACCTGGAATCTCAGAATGTGGGCTTGTTTGGAATAAGGGTTTTTTGTTTTTTTTTGAGGGGGAGATTTAATCGTTTTTTGAGAGTCTCAGGGTCTCTCTCTGTAGTTCAGGCTGGTCTTGGGCTCAGTTTGAAGCCCAGGTTGGTCTCCAACTCTCAATAATCCTCCTGTCTCAGCCTCCCAAGTGCTGGGATTATAGGCTTGTGCCACACGTCAAGCTCAGGAATAAGGGGTTTTGCAGAACTAATGAATGTAAGGCTCTCAAGATGAGATCATCCAGGATCAGTGTGTCCTTGTGGAAGACAGAAAGGAAAAGACAAACAAGAACCCAGGGACAGGCCATGCGGATCAGAAGCAGGCAGAATTGGAGTGATGCTACTACAGGCCATAGGACCCAGGAGCCACCAGACACCTACGAGTCTCCCAGAGCCTCCAGCTCAACCATGGCCCCACCACACCCTGGTTTCAGACTTCTTGTTTTACTGTAAAAAAAAAAACAAAAAACATTTGTGTTGTTTTAAGCCACCCAGCTTGTGGTTATTTGTCACACCATTCTCAGGGAACAAGTACAGCACAGGCATCCGTAATTCTTCATAAGAAAGCAAAGCATTTAAAACAACTGGTAAAATTATAATTACGATTTATTATTATGTATTTTTAATGAATGAATATAAAATATTACTGACACATGGGTAGTAAGAATAAAGCTATCAAGCCCATAGTGGTAGCACACATTCATAATGGCAGCATTCTGGGGTGCTGAGGCAGGAAGTTCCTAAATTCAAACCCTGCCTGGGAAACTTAGTAACTTAGTGAGGTTCTTTCTCAAAGTGAAAAATTATAAGGGTCATAGCTCAGAGCAAAGGCCCAGGACGCGCCCCTCCCCCATCACTATCATGAAGTTTCCTTTGCAATTCTTTTGTCTTACAGAAGAAGAAACTGAGTTGAAGAGAACACTGTGGGAAGCAGATGAGCCTGGATACCTCCCGAGTTATTTTTCTTTCCTAAAAGCCTGTTAGGTTTGGAAGTGCCTATGGCCCTCTTTAACCCACAGGAAGGAGATCAGAGTCATGCTCAGCCAGCAGAAGGTTTACAAACACTTCTGCCTTCCTCTTTGCCTCTCAATTTGGCAACATTAAGAGGCCAGTTTATGCCTTGTGATTTTTCCAGAAAAGCAAAGGCCTTTGTGTCAGGTTTACTCAACCCTCCCCATCTACTTGCCGCCTCCCCTCCCCCTGCCCCACCCAGCTCTTTCCTCCCTCTGCCTCAAATTTCAGCACTCCCAACTGGCAAGGGACAGGGCAGCCACTAAAGCAGAACAACACCTAGCACACTGAGTTCTTGAGCTGAGCAGGCATCATGGCACCGTCTGTGGCCTGGACAGGTATGTAGACAAGGGCAGGAGAGTGGGCTGGGCCTCAGCATCCCCAGAGAAGTGGAGCTGTGCTGGCCGCAGCTCCATGCTACTGTCTTCGAAGAATTTGGAGGGCTCCAGGGAGTTGGGGAGGTCCTGACTTGCAAGCCATTGGCTGTTGTTCCTGCAGCCCCCTTTTTCAGTACCCAAATCTTTGTGGTGCAAGACAAGGCTTTCCTCAAAGAAGGATAAATGACTTTCCCCTTTCTGACCTAGAAACCCAGAGTCAGTGAGCCCCTGCCCTGGGTGCCCATTTTGGCCTTACCAAGAAACCTCAGTGCTTCCTCCAATCCCATGTTACTTGGTTGTTCTGCAAAAGGCAGACCTACATGTCCTTGCAAATTTCCCTGCAGGAGAGGTTAGGTTAGGTTAGGTTAGGTTAACAGAAAGCCCGAGGTCACCAAGAAGGTGGAAGAAACTTCTCTGAAGGAAGGAGTGTGCCAGCCCTCGATCTCCCAAGATGTCACTAATGCCATGAGCCTCTCTTGGTGAATGGTGGGAAAGCAGCAGGAAGTCGTAAATCATGGCAGAGGCACTGTAGCGTCCGGAGACAGGGTCTTCCTGCCCAGCCCCTCTACGTGGGCCCTGCCCAGCCCTGGGATAGGTTTACTCCTTGCTTCACAGAGAAGCCATTTCTCTCAATTTCTCATGTGATCAATTTCCCTCCATCCTAAATCCATACCACCTTCAGCCGAGTATCAGCTTCTAGAAACAGCCTTGCCAGAAAGGGTGCCTCTGCTATCTGGTGCTCATCAAGAGATGGACACAGGCTCCTCGGAAACAAGAATTTCATTTCTTGGAAAACCAGCCCTCCCTGAGCAGCTCCAGCCTGTGTGCTTCTGTCAGCAGGAGGGGTCTGGGGCCTTGAGAAGGATGACACAACCTCTACCTTGTTTCTTGTTTCACTTCAGGTGTGACCTTTCTGCTGATGGTCCAGTGGGGTAAGTGGCACCTGCCCGAGCCCAGCCCCTCGTGGGCTCCACCACTCTCCCCGCACCCAGGCCCCACACTCCCTGAGGACAGACCAGACTGTAGGGACTTCTTCCAAAGCACAGCCCCTCTTAGTAACCCTGTAGTTCCTTCTCCAAGGAAGGTCCTGACTTTATCTGTGTGTTGACCTCCTGCCTGCCCATGAGGCCAGCTTAACCACCCACCTTCCTCAAGCCTTCTCTGAGTCCCTGCCACCCCTTAGTAACTCACAGCGCGCAGGTGCACTTTCCAGAACACATCTCCTCAGCCAAATCCGAGAGGTAAGGAACCCAGGTCTTCCTATGTCCCAGCCCCAGGCGCTTTCCAGAACACATCTCCTCAGCCAAATCCTGAGAGGTAAGGAACCCAGGTCTTCCTATGTCCCAGCCCCAGGGGATTTTCAGGGACTTGGCTTCATGGTCCCCTTCCCATCCCACCTGCACCTTAGACATCCGTGGTCTGGCAATGCTCAAGCTGAGACTGCTGACCTGCACGCTGGACTGTGGCACTGGACATATATTTCCCACCTCGGTCACACAGTGGGGGACAAGCATTGACACCCCACAATCCTTGCTCTAACCAGTCACATTTCCATCATCCTTTTTATTATTTGGGGGTACTGGGGATTTAACCTAAGGCCTTCATATTGAGCTACATTCCCAGACCTTTTCACATATTTTTATTTGGAGTCAAGGTCTCCCTAATTGCCTAGTTGCCCAGGGTGGACCCAAATTTTCTGTCCTCCTGTCTCATCTCCCAGATTGCCGGGACGACAAGCATGTACCACCGAGCCCAGTTACCCACTTCTCTTTACTGCTGCCACCACACAAAATCTGTAGGTGGCATTAGATAGGCTGTGGCCTAACACCACCACCAAGAGCTTCTGGCTCCTTCCTGCGAGGTCCAGCTCTGGGCTAACCCCCTTCTTCCCCCTTTTGTCACCAACCTTCTATCTAGCTCGCTGAGGCTATATCCTGGCCCTGCCAACACTCTCTACTCTGGGTGACCTCTGTCAAGATCCGCCCTTTGTGCTTTCTCTTCTAGCTGTTCTGCACCCTGCCCATCCTCCACTCTCCCGCCAGCCCTGGGGGAATATGCGGGTCTTGAGGCTGGGCACAGGCACACTGTAGTCCAAATGGCCACTCCACCAAGTCCTTGGCATAAATGTTGGCTCATATAAACCTCCCATCACAGAGTTTAGGATGGGAAGAAACCTCAGAGATCTCACAGCCATTTCAGATGGGGCTGACACCCAAGGAAACCTGGATCAAAGGTCCATATACATCCTGCTTTCTCATGTCCTTGGCCACCCAGCATAAGCCTGACCTCTGTGGTTGCTGTGGCCCCTGGATCTCACTAGAAGCAAAGCCAAGTCTTCCCACATGTTACAGAAGATTCCAGAGACAAGCTGCCTTTTCTGAGATAAAATAAGATCTTTATTAGAGCCTAGACATGATATTGATAAACATAGCTTCTTTACAAAGGCTAAGAAGTTAATGTAAACCACTTTGATATACGATGAAAGAAACATAAACTTAGTGGATCCAGTAACCAGGGCCTCCACTCTGCTGTTGCATTTTAATTAACTTTCTGAAGTATCCCCAGCAGGTTTAAAAGTTCTGTCTCCCTTCCTCTGGAACAGGAATGTGCCATGTTTAATCTCCTCCACACCTGTGCTGGGGCCCACCTGGGTTGTCCTCTGTCTCATTTCAGGCTCTGTATGGGCCAGACAAGCTGGGAGCAAGGAGGGCTGCCTGGGAACTTGGGCTCTTTCAAGTGTGTGAGGGGTCAGGAGATTTGGGTCCTAGGCCTCTGAGCCACTCTCATGGCAGCTGTGATGCTTGAAACAGGACTCAGCTTGTGAGGCTCAGCTTGTACATGGTGAAACGACCATGGTGACAGTGGCCCTGGCCACTCAGTATCCTGAGGACACCACAACTGGCCTCTGAATACATTCTCCTGAAAGATGCTGCTTGTACCAAAGCAGATGCCATCTCTGACCATTAGGACCATCATGTATCAGACAGATGCCCAGGAGACACTGCTGGTCCAGAAACATGTTTGACAGCCAATGTCCTTTCTTTCTCCTGACTGGTCAGGCTCTGCTGCAAAACTGGTCTGTTATTTCACCAACTGGGCCCAGTACCGAGCAGAGGCCGCTCGCTTCACCCCTGGAGCTGTGGACCCCAGCCTGTGTACACACCTCATCTATGCCTTTGCAGGCATGCGCAACCACCAGCTCAGCACTGTGGAGTGGAATGACCAACAACTGTACCAGGAATTCAACGGCCTGAAGAGAACGTGAGCTGCAGGGGAAGTGGGATCCCCTAGGGAAGTGGTGGTGGTGGGGTCTCTCTTCTCAGAGCCAGAAACTGCCCACATCCCTGCCACAGACCTGCTATGTGGCCTCTGGCAAGTCACATTGCCCCTCTGGGCTTCCCTAGATTTGTGTGGAAGAGGTAGTGTATATTAGGGAACTGTTAGGGGTCCTTCCAGTTTAGGTCCAAGTGGGATCAGAAGTGAGGAACTCATCCCCTCTCCTGGGACAGTCCTTCCTTCCAGGAGTGCCCTAAAAACTATCCTTCCTTTAGCTCAAGTGTTAAGGCCATCTTTACAAAGTCTCTCTGAGACTCACTTCCTGTGATGTCTCCCCCAGGAAGACAGCACGTCCTACACACCATCAACATGCCTTCTTCTTTTCCAGAGAGCTCAGCACAGGCCCCGCTCCTGGGGCTTATGTCTCCCCAACCCCACCCCATCGTTTTTATCCAGAAACCCCAGGAGCTAGTTGGTAAATCTAAAGCATCTTTTGTATTCACAGGAATCCCAAGCTCAAGACTCTGCTGGCCATTGGGGGCTGGAACTTTGGCACTCAGAAGTGAGTGGGCTGTGGGCCCCTGGGTGGCAGGGCCCCTGGATGGAGACCAGGACAGCTATCCATATAGAATCCAGTCCAGGGAGAGGAACAGCTTACCTCCTCTGGGTTCTTGGTGGCTTACGGTGGGACAGCAGAGTGTGGGTGGCCCCAGATTGCTAGAGGTCCAATCTTGTCAGAAGCACAACTTACATGGCCCGGAGAGCTCTGATTTCCCAGGCCCCTGACTCTTCCTCTGCGAAACGGGTAAAGAGAGTCCCAGCTGGTCCTAGACAACGCACACACGCGTATGTGTGTCTTCTGAGCCCCAATCCCACACCTTTTGTCTGATGAATTTTATTCTACTTCTAGGTAGGTAGAACTTGGATGCTAAACTATTGGCATGTCTGAAACAGATTTTTTTTTAATATACGGAGATAATGGAATAGAATATTTGGAGCTGGATTTTTCTACAACATTCAGATATAGGTTCCCAAGGTTCTAACTATACAATGTTTCTAAAACTTTTTCTTTTTTAAGATCATGAACCCTTTTGAGAAGCTAATAAATGTTCTGGCTCATCTTTCCAAAATAATCTTTATCCTCCGATTTTTCCTTGACATGCAGGTGTTTCTAGCCTGCTGTTCCCAGGCATGTGGGCAATACCTAACAATGGCCACTATTAATTATAGTAGAAATTATTAAGAGTACATTAGAATAGGGTCTGTCTATAAGGAACTTAAGGCCCCAGGAAATGCAGAGCCTGCTCTTGGAGCTGCTAAGGAAGGAAGAAGTCAGCAGGTGCTTCCTGGGTAGCATGGGGATTTCAGAGAGCTCCGGACCAGCAATGGGCCTGGGAGGGAGTCCTCTACAAAGTCAGGTTAGAAGAGAGATAGCTACTAACCCTGCCAGGGGCCTGAAACAGCAACTCCAGTCTACTCAGATCCTTGCCAACCTGGCCACACCTCCCTTCTTTCCCACATCTTAGAAACTCATCTCTTCTCTAGAGGTACCGCAGACTGAACCCAGGGCCTTTGCACTGAGCTGCATCCCCAGCCACAGGTGTGGGCTGCCGCACCAGCTTTGTTTTCTTTCTCAGCATCCATGTGGTATAACAATGGGTGGGGACAGCTTGCTTTGATTCAGGTGGGCATGGCAGGCAGCCTGGTACCTAGTAAATCATTGCACCTGGCACATCAACAATTAGGGGCAAAAGGACTTCTGTCGTCCCTTCTTATTAACCTGCTGGCAGACATTCCAGCAGCCTTAAGCAGCTTCCCGAGTCCCTCCTGGCTTAGACCCACAAACACCAGCACCCCATGTGGCTTCAGGTTGCCCTGGTGGGGGACAGTGATCTTCTGTCAGGCCCAGGGTGGACCCACACCCTCTGTCACCACCTCACAGGTTCACAGATATGGTAGCCACAGCCAGCAATCGGCAGATCTTTGTCAACTCAGCCGTCAGGTTTCTGCGGACATATGGCTTTGATGGCCTCGACCTTGACTGGGAGTACCCAGGAAGCCGGGGGAGCCCGGCTGCAGACAAGCAGCGCTTCACAGCCCTCATTCAGGTACAGCCGGTGAGACAGGGGTCACCTGGCCTGCCAGGGGACCCAGGGCAGTGGCCTCCCAGTAGTTGGGTGCTATTTTGACCTCACACATTTACACAGCTCAGTCTGGCCCTTCTTCAGTGCTGACCTGCCCTGTCCCTGCAGGGCTTGGCCAACGCCTTCCAGCAGGAAGCCCAGACCTCAGGGAAAGAACGGCTCCTTCTGAGCGCAGCTGTCCCTGCTGGACGATACTATGTGGATGCTGGCTATGAGGTGGACAAACTTGCCCAGTGAGTGTGGTCCCTACTCAACCCTGGACATTGTGACTTAGACCTTGTGTCCCATGAGGCAGGCGAAGCACAGGGTGGACTGAGCTTCCCAGTACAGAGAGCACATTGTTACCCCCTAAGTGTTACTTTGAGATACTAAAGGTGTACAGAAGGCTTTGCTAGCTGTGTCTTTTCCATTTCAGATCCTTCATTTTGTATTTTTTTCCATTTTTCTTGAGAATTCACTCTTTTTTTTTTCCCCTTGAGAATTCACTCTTAAAGAGAACCCCAGGGGTAGGGGAGCCAGAGGGAAGCCCCTGAGCAACCCCAAGAGAATGGTGGTCTGGCTTCTGGCTCCTTGCCGTGTGTTCCTGGAGCATGGATCCTCAGGCCCTTGGGAGGCCTGCCAGGAAGAACCTACATTTTAGAGAAATCCCCCAGGAGGGCTTCCCACGCACTAAATTTTGAGAACTGCACTGAGCTGGAGTTCTCCAAAAAATGATAAACTAGCTCCAAGTCTCCTTCTTGCAAAGTGTTGGGGGGGGGGCTGGGACAGAGAAGAAAGAGTAGGGGGAGACAGTTGCCCACCTCACAGTGGAAATGAGAACTGCTGGAGTGCTGACCACAGAGCCAGGGGACAGCCCTCCATGCCCACTGACCCCTAGGTCTCTGCCCCAGGCCACACGCTAGCTCTCGCCTCTTCTTTATATGCCTCCTGCAGGGACTTAGACTTCATTAACCTCATGGCCTACGACCTCCATGGCTCCTGGGAGAAGGTCACGGGACATAACAGTCCCCTCTACAAGAGGCAGGGGGAGAGTGGAGCAGCAGCTGAATACAACGTGGTAAGTGACCCAAGGGAAGAGGCAGGATTCCGCTCCTCTGCAGACCCTGCCCGGGTGGGGGGCCCTCTGAACCTCAAAGCCCCTAATGGAAGAAAAATAAAAAAACAAGCAAGTAGCCAAGAGAATTAGGAAAACTAGGAATCTTTTTCTTTGCTTGCTTTAGAAATTTTCCTGTTCTATACCTCTGAGGAGAGGGAAATCTCACTTCTGTGTGATATCTTGGCTGATAGTAGACAGACAAACCAATTTAACCCTTCAAATAAGTGACCAATATGGTGGGTAGGGTGCTCTGTGCTGCATACCTGGGTCCATGAAGAAAGAGTTCTTTCTTCTCTGACACAGAGCCCTTCCGCTCACCATGCCGTGTCTGCAGACTAACTGGCCAGAGGTGTGAGGTCCCCAAACTTTCATGAAAGTCCATTTAGTTAACAGGGCTCTGATCTTGGAAGTTCAAGTCTGATCAAGGATAAATGTAGATCGACGAAAGGAAATCCATGTAGTGAAAACTGTTCTTTACCTAAGTCCTAAGAGGGCATGTAGTAATTCAAGTTGGTCTCAACTAGGTTGGTTTCCAGGGGAAAGTGGGCTCTCACCTTGGCTCAGGGGAAGAATTTGATCATTCTTTATTCAACACAACTATAGCCAGTGTGGTGATACGCATTTGTAATCCCAACACTCTGGCAGGCTGAGACCGGAGGATCTCAAATTAGAGACCAGGTTGGGAAACTTAGTGAGACTCTGTCTCAAAATAAAAACCAAAAGAAGTATTGAGCGTGTAGGTCATGCTGAAGGCCCAGGATTCAAGCCCTTAGCCTTAAAAAGTTATATAAATACAATGTGTGTACACTTACATTGTGTTCCTCCTGTCTTGGGCTTGGGAGCTTCACACCCGTGACACATGACAGCAGGAACACCTTGCTCAGAAGTAGATCAGGAAGCTGTGGGTGCCTCATGAGATCCTCAGTGCCAGGCAGTGCTCTGGGCCCTGCTTTTGTGCTCAGCTGATACTTCTAACCGAAATAATGCTAATGGCGATACTCACAGTCCCCCACTACACTGTATGAGGCCTTACACAATGCATACGGCACTATTGGGGCTGGCAGTTCATTATTTCCATTTTAAACAAGTTGTAAGGCAGGGACGTCCCTGCTTTGGTCCCTAAAGCAACCCAGTCTTGCAGCACAGAGTGTAGCACACACTGGGCTGAAAGTACATGTTTGTTCAGACAGTGGCTGTCTGAATCCAAAGCCAGTGCCCCCGCAGCTTCTTGCGCTGGGGCTCAGGATCTAAGGCAGGATCTGTCATGGTTTAGAAAGAAAATGCAGAAAATCTCCTGAAGATGCAGGTATTGAGAACCTGCTCTCCATTGCAGCACTGTTAAAAAGTGGGGCCTAAAGAGGTGGCTAGATCATGGGGGGTGACCTCTGAATGCCCAGGTGGGGGAACTGGGTCACCTGAGTGTGTCTTTGAAAGGCACCCCAATCCTTGCTTTCTGGTTCTGCCACTCCTTCTCTGCCTCCTAGTCACCGTGAATTCAGCAGCTTTCCCCTATGATGCTGTTTCTATCTTAGAGTCTGCTGATCTTGGACTGAAACTGTGGGTCAAAATAAATATTTTCTCATTGAAATTGCATGTGTCAGGGATTTGTCCCACTACATTATAGAGTCTAAAGAAGATGGGCAGGATTGTAATATTAATGAAGGGCCTAGAATCTCCAGGAGGGGAGTCCCTGTCCTGCTAGCTCTTTCTGGATCACCCCCTTCTCTGAAGCCCCCATTCCTAGACAGTCAGAGCCAGGCCAAGGTAGGAGAGATTAACAAGCTCTCCTTCTCCACCACCAGGATGCTGCTGTACAACTGTGGCTACAGAAGGGAGCCCCCGCCAGCAAGCTGGTCCTCGGCATGCCCACCTACGGACGGTCTTTCACCCTGGCCTCCTCATTAGACACCAGAGTGGGGGCCCCAGCCACAGGGCCCGGTGCCCCTGGCCCCTTCACCAAAGAAGGAGGGTTTCTGGCTTACTATGAGGTGGGAAAACTCATAGACACCCTGAGATGGTGGGGGGCTGGAGCTGCCTGGGAAGCTAGAGCTCTTTGCCCCTAGCTTTTGAAGTGAGAATTCTGGCCTGGTAGGTTTTATCCCATTCCTGTCATCCTGGATTTATGCTTAAATCTAAGTGTCTCAAGTCCGAATCCACAGTTTTAGGCCTTCCAGTCTAGAACCTCCTTTGTTCTCCAGGCTTCCTCAGACAGGAATTTCCCAATTTCTGGTCCCTTCTGCTGGGGATGGGCTGGTGCCTTCTGGAATCTGCTTCTCTTCCCTACTCCCCTGCTCCGTTCCTGCAGGTCTGCTCCTGGAAGCAGCAGCACAGAATCGAGGACCAGAAGGTGCCCTATGCTGTCCGGGATAACCAGTGGGTGGGATTTGATGACGTGGAGAGTTTCAAAGCCAAGGTGAGGCCTAGCCCTGCTGGGAGCCAGGTGGTCCCAGAGAGGCCCAAGACCTGTTGGTAACATTGAATAACTACATTCCAAACCTCTTCAAGGATCGGTCTTCTTGTAAATATCTCAGCATTTCTCCAATCTCCATATTTGGTACCTTTACCACCTATTTATTAAGAAAAGACACACAATAAGCAAGGCTTGATAGTGAATGCTTATAATCCAAGCTATTCAGGAGGCTGAAGCAGGAGGCTTGAAAGTTCAAGGCCAACCCATACGACTTAGTAAGACTGTAAGTAAGACTCTTAGCAAGCTCGTAAAAAGGGCTGGTGATGTAGCATAGTGGTAGAGCACTTGACTACCATGAGGCCCTGGGTCCAATTCCTAACACCATTTACACACACAGAGACAGAGAGAGACAGAGAAAGAGAGAGAGAGAGAGAGAGAACATGACATTACATGGAATCACATTTTTTGTTACGTGTTTGCAATACATGATGATTACATTCAAAATAGCACTGTTGAAAAGATTTGTATTTTATTAAATACTAACAAATTCTACAGACACAAGAAGAGGAGAACTAACAATGCATGGTAAGGCATATGACTTCACTCGGCCCATCTGGCGTCGTATCATGGATTTACTCAATGGTCTTGCCCAGTCTGAACTCACTGTTTATTTCCAGGCCTCTCTCCCCAAGGAGATCAGCCATTGAGCAGGGTCAGATGTAGAAAGGAGGTGGTGGGAGAAGTATGTGGGGGCCGGCAAAGGGTCCAGAGCAACTCAATCCTCCACCCTCAAACCCACTCCAGAGCAAGCAGTGTAGCCCTTGGCAGAGGCTTCTCTATCACCTCTCTGAGGGGACACACATCCTTCCTGTGTTCTCTGCGGATCTGGTGTGAGAGAGGAGGCTCTTGAGAGGACCAAGACATAAAGACAGGGAGGTAAAACTCGGTGAAGATCTTCTATGAAGTCTAGCTATTCCCTGCACTAACTGAACCTAACACAACTGTAGTAACACAAACAGCAACTCAGCCCAGGAGGACCAAGATGCTATCATTTTCACCACCTCCCCTCCCACCCCATCTGGGCCATGCTTATTGTCAGCAGTGTCTGGATTCGCCTGCTAAGGCCATCTGCAGAATCCCCCATCACCCATGGGCTTGAGGGTACTGGACAGAAGGGCCCTGTGGGGAGGATGAGGCTGGGCTCCCAGGCTGACCTGGCTGGGCTTCTCCAGGCTCCTGCACCTACATCTCCCTGGCACAGGTTGGCTATGTGAAGCAGAAGGAGCTGGGCGGTGCCATGGTGTGGGCTCTGGACTTGGACGACTTCTCAGGCTCCTTTTGCAACCAGGGCCGATACCCACTCATCCAGACACTGCAGCGGGAACTGAGTGAGTATGGGCCAAGTGAAGTTTGGGCTCAGGCGTACCCCCTGCCATCTTAAACCACAGCTGTTGGGTTTTGGGAAGAAATTACTATGCCCCAATAGTGCTATTTCCCAAACTTCCTGCACCCCAAGTTTAGCTATGCCTGTAGCTGTACCCAGCTGCAGATATGGCTGTGGTCTGATTCTGCTCTGCTCTTGGGCCATGGGATCTGGGCTGTTGCTTCCTATGGCCTAAGGGGTTGGCCTGTGGGTTTAGGATCTCTTGACTGAATTTTCATTGTCTCCCCAGGTATTCCATCCGTGTCTCCAGGTCCTCCAGAGCCTGAGGTGCCTACAGTTGGCCATCCCTCTAACCCCAAGCCAGACCCCAGCGCTGGACAAGACACCTTCTGCCAGGGCAAAGCCGATGGGCTATATCCTAGCCCTCAGGAAGCGTCCAAATTTTATACCTGTGCAGGAGGGGAGCTGTTTCAGCAGAGCTGTGGTCCAGGCCTGGTGTTCAGTGCCTCCTGCAAGTGTTGCACCTGGAAATGAGGCCCCAAGACCCTGCAGCTCCAGCCTGAAACCTGGGTGCACCCACCCCTTGCTTTCCCTGGAGGCTGGCTCTGGTGGGCCTCTCTGCAGTTTTTCTATAACCATGATATTTGCTTCCCACCTCACCTTCCTTTTCTGTATGTCCTGGGCTGAATCTTTTACTTGATAAATAAAATTTTAGTTTGTGCCCCTCTCCTTCCAGGGGTGGTGGCTTCTGAAGAGACTCTCTAAGAACACCATGTAACTCAAAACTACTTTGCAGAGATAAGAGGGGAGAATGGTACAAGGCAGGCACAGGTCTGAGCCAAGTGGAAAGATCTGTGCCAATCAGAATGGGCTAGGCCTGTGCCAGGTCCCACCTCGACGAGTCCACCCTCCAGTGGGCATCTTCCAGGACACTGGTGATAGCATCAGAGCAGTCACTGGTCATTGCTCAGAAGGTCCTTTCCTGCTGACCTCTCCTCGGGTGCCATCCCTAGATGGACAGTAGAGGGCAGCAGAGATGGGTTCTTCCTCCTCCCCAAACTCCACCCCACTCCACCCAACCCCATGGCCCTAGACTACAATAGACTTTTCCTTTTCTGTCTTTTTTTTTTTTTTTTTGCATTGGACTCATGACCTCACACATGGCAGGCGGGCGTTTATGCCGCTGAGCTAAATCCCTGGCCCCTACAGTTGATTTTTCTTAGCCGAGTACTAAATGTTGGCTTGGAAACGCAACCCACGGGGGGCCTCCCCAGGTCTTAGCTCACCTACTGCTCCCAGCACGATTACCTTTATTTTGCAGATATATAACTGAAGAATGAATCTTACGTGTTCTGAGTCCAGAACTGAGGCCTAAAACACGGGCCTACATATGCCTAAAAAGTACATCAGGATTACTGCTTAAGGGGTTGTTTCAGTATTCTGCAAAGCCCTGGATGCACCTTGGTCACTGTACTTGAAGAAAATCTGCACTCGCCGGAGGTCTAGTTTTGAGGTGGGGCTCAGTGAAGGCTGAGGATGGGGTCAGGTAGGGGACAAGGGATGACTGGGCCCCTCACTGGGTGTCACAGCACCAGATGGCCCTGGAGCATCTTGCCCACTGCTCCACCCTGGCCCTTCTGTAGTTCAGAGCAGTCTGCTTTTCCATGTTCCTGTCCTGAGTCCCCACCCAGCAAGGGCATCCCAGCTTCAGAGAGGAGTCCAAGGGGCAGAGTGCTTGCTGAGACCCTTTGTCAGGCCTGAGCCTCCTTTCCTGGTCTCATGTCCTGTTCCTGGGAACCTCAGCTGTCAGCATCAACTTCAGCATGCCAGCTCCTCATGTGGGATCTCGGGTGCTTGAAGATATCCTGCTAGCTCAGCCCCTCCCGTTTTCTGAGTGAGTCCTCCTGAGACAGAAATCACAGGTGCACCCTGAAAGCCAGTTATGCTTAGATTGTGATCCTTCCATCTCTCTGTGGCCTTTGCTCCCCATGTGTCCCCTGCATCTTCCTGCTGCAGCCTGGCCCCTCAGCATCACCAAGTGTCTATGGTATCGCAGCCTGTGCCCAGTGGACACAGCAAGAACACAAGTCTGCCAGAACACATGCTCTTCCTGGGGCTAGCATTCCACTGAGGGGAACAGACAATGAACAGATGCACAAAGGAGACCTTTCAGACAACAGAGAGTCTGCTGGAGAGCAAGAGGAGAGAGGAGGAACCACCACTGAGCTCAGTGTGCCAGAAACGTCCCTGAGTGGTCACGCTGAGTTGAGATCCAAACATCTAAGAAAGATGTGATTGGGTTCTTAGGGGTGAACATGAGGACAGCACTTCCTTGGCTGATTTATTAGCTTATAGGACAGGGGTCCTGCCTTGATGGTCTCTTTCAAACACTGCACTGACCCCAGTTCCTTCTCCAGCATGGAGCATGGTGTCCATGCAGATGTCTCCTAGATGTGTCCTTTGTCCCTTAGGTCAGCTGTTGAAGGCACCTGACTTGGTGGCCTTGTAGGCAGTAATAACTGCCCTGCTCCTGGACTGTGTGAGCCAACTCTGCTGATGACCCAGGCTCTGCGTACTCTGGTGCCCAAAGCTCTGTATGGTGCAGTTCAGTTGTCTTATCAGCTCTGGGCTACGTGGGTAGCATGTGTTATGCCAGCATCTTGTATAGTGGCATGTGCCCCAATGTCTTAATTAGTCTTCTCTTTCTATGGCTCAATCCCTTCTCTCTCTCTCTCTCTCTCTCTCTCTCTCTCTCTCTCTCTCTCTCTCTGTCTCTCTCTGTCTCCCCAAAATTTTTTTGGAAAAAAGATAAAACAAAACTTCAGAACAAAATAATAGAAAAACAATAATTGTTAATATATTACATGTTGTTATCTTTAGTTTCTCAGGGTACAAGATCTGGGCATAAAAATTTCTCCAGTTTATATTAGCACAAACCTTCCTTTTTAACAAACTAAGAGATACTAATTGTATAACTGACTTGCATTTTGTCATTTGCCCTTTAAATGTGTCCAGTCACTAGGGTATTAAAATTCTTGCATGACCAGGGACCATCCTAGGCTTATATTACCGTATGATAAACATTTACTGAATGGATAGCAAATGAATGAGCCCATGTCATTTAATTTTCTCTGTGTGCCTACAAAGTAATTATCGTTATCTCATTTCCCTTGGGTAACATGGGCAATATGCAGCACAGTGGGGATTTAGATGCTGACCTAGATGCGACCCAGTGCCCAATCTTGCTCTCTAGGATGCTGCAGGCGCTTCCTCCCTGAGTTAAAGTCATTGCCTTGGTTCAGCTCCTCCATGCTGTTATGGTGTGTCCTGAGGTGTGTTGGGTGTTTAGACTGCAGCTGGCTATACACCAGTGTGCCCATTAGTTTGTTCCTGGTGTCAATCCAGTGAAGCCACACAGGCAGAAACCAATCAGTGGTGGAGTGAGGACCTAACTTAAGTCCCCACCATCTCCATCTTTCTCCCTTTTGAGTACACTGCATTATACTGCAGCTCTTGTCCTCTGTGACATCTGATTTTATAGTTTGTCTCTGCATGCAAAGTTAGCAATGCTTAAACCAGTAAGCATTTCCTGGCCATTTGCCATGTGCCAGGCGCTATGCCAGAGCCAAGGCGGGGGGATGCTGCACACAGTTGGCAGGACTGCTGATGGGGAGCTCCATGGTCAGCATGAGCATGACCAATGGTGGGGAAGGCAAGTCCAGGGGGTGGGGAGGAAGGCGGACTTCATCACAGGACTGGGTAGAGCTGCAGGTTTGTGGGGATGATTAAGAGCAGGTCAAATCAAACTTTACTATCATCATTATAAATTCTCTTCATATAAGACAACTTTATTATCCCACTTGGGATGGGTCTCTCATTTCCCAAGATAATGCCCCCCCTTATGAAGTTTGAGCCCCTGTCTCAAAGCAACTACCACTTTTGAAACAAGACTTTCACCTTCTAACCACAGACTGCCTTATGACCCACAAATACTTCCACCTGTAAACTAGGTGCTGCGGCCTGGAGTAGCCTTTGCAGACAGGATGCTGGAGTTGTTAAAGTTTGCTTAACTTGGTGCAAAACACTTTGAAAGGAATAGAGGGTATTCCACCTAGGGTGAGTCCTCCACCACTCCCTAACAGTGAGGACCAGTGTCACCCCCACAGAGAGGAGGTCTCTGATCATCTGTCACTACATCTACCAGGCCTCCAGGCAGTCTGGCTGCAACCCTCACCCACTGGTCACATGAAGGCCCCACCATGCTGGTGGGCCCTGGGAGTGTTCATCCAAATGATCGTACTCTACCTAGAGCTGAAATGCTTGATTGTTTTCATTTTGTTTCGACTGTTAAATGTATCATATATACAAAAGAGTATCTCAGATAACTACACGCAGGGTTTTCCATGAATCCATAACGCAGAGAAATCCACAGAACATTGCCAGCACTTTGGAAGCTTCTACTGTGCCCCTCCCTGATTCTGCACCTCTCCAGCTAGATTGCGGTTCCCATTCCCTTGTTCTGTTTGTAGTTTTACCAACTAAGAGCATGTTTCTAAATGTGGTATTGCCTAGTTTATCCTGTTTTGAAAGTTATGTAAATGAGTCGCATTGCGCAGTATTTTCAGTGGCACCTTCTCTGTGCTGTAACTCATTCTCACTGTGAACCATCGCATGAGTGTGTCGCAGGGGACACAGTCCACTGTCAGTGAGTGTCTGGCTGGTTTCCAGTTAGGGGAAAAAAAGGAAAATACTGCTGTGAACATGCCTAAGCTGTCTCCTCGGGCGTCTGTGGAGAATTTGTTCAGGAGGGAACTAATGGGGTGCAAGGCAGGGGATGTTCCACTTTGCCAGGCACAATGTGTTTTCCTTGAGTGGCGGTGCGGGTTCCCCTCCCATCAGCAGGATTCTCGTTGCTCTCCACTCCTCACTGCCACCCCATTCTTTGGCCAACGTAAGGAGTAGGTTGGCATCTCCCTACAGTTTAATTTCTCACTAGCTTCAACACTCTTTCTAAATGATTTGTGTTTGTTCTTTTGTGAATAGTCCACTGCGCGCTTCACCATCTTAGAGGACCACCGAGACAGCTCCCCCTGCAGGAAGACGACTTGCCTGCATTGTAATTCACCTTTACCCGTTTACTGATATGTGCAGAGCTGGTGCCAGGAGGTGCTCGGACCCCTTGATTGGCTATAAAGACTTTTGTAGATCCCGCCAATCTCACAGCCACTCAACCCCAAGACATTCTCCTCTATGGATTATGGAAACCCTAGTTAGGCCATGAGTTGTGGCCTTTGTCCTAGATAGGATTTAGAACCCCTTGGCTCCCCACAAGCGCAGATATGACTCTTATCTCTTTTTTCTCATTGTAGGTTGCCTTGGAAGTGGTTGGTTAGAATTTACTCACAATCCCAATTGCTTTTCCCTGGGATTGCAAAGTGTAGACACCAGATCTCTAGGGGACAGGTGGTCGTGGAGGGAAGGTCGTAAAGTCAGGCCACGTTGGGCGCCGAATGTAAAAGCCCATCCTCCCGGGGTCAGAGTTCATATTCCGTAATCCCAGGGAGAATTGAGAATTCCAATTACTTTTCTATTAGGTGGTCTTTTCTTAATGAAAAATGGGTGCACTTTACATATTCTAATTACAAATTCTTTGCTGGCTATAGGTTTGAGTATATTTTCTGATTTGAGGCTGGAATTTTAGTTCTCTTTAGGTGTCTTTTAATGTAATCA